GTTGGATTCAAGGAATTGCTGTTGTTGGACGGTGCTGTTGTTCCTTGATTTGGTGAGTTTGGAATAGTAGGAATGTTTGGGACTCTTGAGGTTGAGCCAACTCCGTATTTTAAGTCGTTAATTTGGAGTTTTAATCGTAGATTTTCCTCTTCGGCTTCTTCGCATCTAGTTTTTCAAGTTAAAGCGGCCTTGGCACTGCTTTGGGCTTCTCGTTGTTCTTTAGCAATTTCTGATTTTTGACTTTCAATTGTGGCTATAAGTTCTAAATTTGCTACTTGCAACCTATTCCTTTCGGGTTCGATTTTGCTTAATTCTTCTGTCTCTCTTTTCAATTTTCCCTCTACATTTTCTAAATGATTTTTGGTACTGATTAGTTCTCTTTCTAACTCGCTAACTCTCGCCCCTAATTTCTCTACTTCATTAGTTTCAAACTCAGCGGTTTCTCGAATTGTATTATCTGAATTTCCGTCCATGATTTTAATTATTTTTTTCTTGTTTGCTTAACTTATTTTCAGTTAATTGTTGCTTTTTAGACTTTTTCTCAACCAGAAGGGTAAGTTTTTAAAAATTGATTGCAAAATTTCGCCCGTTTTGTAGAGACCAGAGATTAGAACGAGACTAATGAAAACAAAGATCAATCAGAATAGTTTTTTATTTACTCTGGAGTTAGAAATTATTGGCTTTGGGTTTTTTAGTTGTTGGGGTTCTTCTTCCACTTTAGTTTCTTTTTCCGGTTCGGAATTTTGGCTTTTACCATTCTCGCCCGCTTGGGGAATATGAGTAGCTTCAAATTCATCAACATCTAATCTCCCCGTAAGTTTTTTAAACATAGCGTAGGCTTGATTAATTTGTTTCAGCCGGTCTTCGGCAAATTTTCTTTCTTTTTCATTTTTACCAATTTGCTTATCGGGATGATATTGGGCCGAGAGTTTTTTGTAAGCGTTTTTGATTTCTTCTTCGCTCGCATTTGCGTCTACTCTGAGTATAGCATACATTTCTTCAATCTCCATTGGTTCTGTGGATTCTTCTCCCCGCAGTTTTTTTAACCTTTCTTCGAGAGAAGTGGATTCGGAACTATTTTTGCCGGTTGGTTTGCTTGCTCATTTGGGCTCAGACTGAGGAACGGGTGGAACGTCAACCAACATTTGCAAGTTTTCGAGAGATTGTTGAGTTTGCTCTAACTCAGTTTTTACTTGAATTAATTCCTCATTAAGAGTTTCTTTTTCGTTTTCTAAAGTCGAATAGTTTCCTTTTAGATCACTTAGTTCTTTTTGGGTTTTATCGCGAGAAGCTTCAGACTTTTGCAGCTTATTTTCTAATTCCAAACAGTTCTCCTTTTGAGTTACTAGTTCGCCGTCTACTTCTTCTTTGGCTTTTTGGAGAGAACGGTTATCAGTAGTTACTTCTTGTAATTTAGTTTCCTTCTTTTGTAAGCGATCAGCGAAGTCTTTGATTTCCTCGTCCAAGTCTTCTTTGTGTTCAAGCAGTTCTTGGTAAGAATGGGATAGTATTCTTATTGTTTCTTTGAAGTCTTTGATATCAATTACCTTTTTGGCGATCAGGGCTTTTTGTAATTCAATAGTTTCTTCTTGACCGCCTAGTTTAGCGTCACGAGGATCGGCGATTGTGGCATTACGAGCTAGTCTTTCTTGAATAGCAACTTCAATTTCTTCGTAGGCTTGACATTTTCTCGCCATTTGCTGATAATTACGAGTAATAGTTCTTGCTTGCTCTTCGAGAATTTGAATACGATTAGCCAACCGTTCTTTTTCGTTCTGAAGGTTAAAAACTTGCAATTCCAAAGAACTTCTATTTCTTTCTACTGATCTTAAACTTTCTTGGGTGCTATTTAATTGGCTAGTTAGGCTGGTGCTTTTTTCAGCTAGATTTTCTTTTTCCTCTTGAATTAGTTGTTTTTCATCTTCTAAAATTTTTACTTTATCGGCATGAACCACAATCAACTGCTTATTTTCTTTCTCCAGATGATCTTTTTGAGTTTTCGTTTTTTCTAACTCGTTTTCTTTTTTGGTTAGTTCGATTTTTAGTTTTTGCTTTTCACTTTCCTTAGTTTCTAGTGCTTTTCTACCTTGTTCTTTGATCGTAGTTATTTCTTTTTCTTTGTTTTCTATCTTTCTGTCTCTTGCTCCCAACTCTTCATTTTTCAGTTCCAAAGCATCCTGGGTAGCCGCAATTAGGTCAGCATAATCCCGACTGGCTATTCGTAAAACGTGAGCGGATTGGGCTAGTTCTTGCCCCACCGAATGCAGGAGATAATTTTCCCAGGATTTGACACCTTTTTCTAATTGATTAAGGGGTGCGGCTAGATAAGCTCCTACTGGCCTTCGCCCAAAAAGTGAAGGTCCGCGATTGAGCGAAAACTCTTCTTGCAATTCTTCTTTGAGGCCCTCAAACATTGCGTCTAGGGGGGCATGGCGAATAACTATTTGTGCTTGGTGAGCCAAATGTTGGCTTACTTGCCTTTCGGTTTGGTTTAAAAAAAGTTGATTTAAAACCTGTTGGGTGGTTTGACCGGTTGCGGCCAAAACCAAAGCTTTTTCTTCGGATTGGGTTGGTAAAGAAGAAAGAAAAGGCCGGAATTGCCCTTCTTCCTCCCGTAGTTCGAGGAGCAATCCTCGTTCAGCAAACTTATTGCTTAGGGTCGCAAACTCCTGGATTTTTTCTGAGTAAGGCAATTCCGAATAGTTAAGCAAGTGATCTAGTTTCAACTCCAGTTCTTCCTCGGAGCTAAGAGGAATTTCTTTTAGTTCTGCTTGGCCAGTTCGCGGAGAAAACATATAAGGTCATCCCTGCTCTACGTTCCAATAAAAAAAATCTTGGATGTTATCAAGAATAATTTGGTATTTTTTCCCCTCCTGCAAAAGACTTTCTTCAAATTCTGATGGAGTCAACCATCCTTTTTTTTGCAAAAGTTTATAATTAGCAATAAACCCCTTAGCCTCCTCCCGCTTATAAATAAACGGTTCGGTAAAAGTGATTTTGCGAGCATCTTCACAGCCCGGGAAGTTACTAGAATATTTTTCAATTTTTCTGACTGTAAAAACTATAGAATTAGAGTTAAGGGAAATTTTCCCCTTATTTGCTTTTCCACCCAGATTGAAAGCCTTTTTTGTTTTGGGTGTGCTGTCTTTCTTAACTTGGTCTTCTTCCCTTCTCTTGCCCTTAGCAATTGCTTCTTTTAAACTAATGATTTGCTTAATTATCAAGTAACCTACCTGGTTGGCTCCTGCCGAAGGTTTTAACTCGGCTTCTGCAAAAGTAAGCTCGTATTTCTTACCTTTTTGTAATTTGGATACTTCGGCCGTTAAATCTTTGCCAAGTTGAGCTTTGGCTAGGGAAATTTTGCGAACGGTTTTAGTTTGATAACTAATTGCTTCGGCCAAGGCAAGATCGAAAAAGCCTTCTCAGTCTTGGCATTTTTCTAGAGTGAAAATAA